GGAATATTCCACTAAAATAATCCTAATAAAACAGGAAAAAATAGATTTCTTTCAATTGGTAGTCACTTATTTGCACTTGAAAGGCAAACAAATTATCATTTGTAAAACTCAAGTACCTAATATATTTATCCAGTTTGTTTTACAATGATTTTCAGAAGTTAGAAAATTAAAAAACAAGCCCAAAGGAGTGGATAAAAAATGGAGGAAGGGTGGAAGAGTAATCCTGTTTTGAGGGAAAGTAAGAGACGGTCTCTTCCTTTATTTAATAATGACATGAACATCTTGTTGTTAAAATGATAAATGCTAAGTAATTTATACAAATCACACTAAAAATACAGATTTGAGTAATCTTGATCAAAATAAACCTCAGACATAGCACTCGCTGTTTCCTTTTATGGGCAGATTCTAGACCTTTGGAGCACATGCTTTATCACAGCCAAACTCTTTGAAGCATGAACAAAATGATGAGTTTATTTAAAATAGGGCCTCAGTCCAATCAATCACTTGACTTGCGTCGGGAAGGAGAAAACTGCCACCTCAGAGAACTGTATCACCGGTTAAATCTGTCCTCCTAAACTATCTGTGTCACGAACTTCTGACTTTCTCTAGTCAAGTTTCAGTGACATCGTGTTGCAGTGGCACAAGGAAAGCTAAGGGAGGTAGGGGGAGAAGAATAGTGCCATTTGGAGGAGGTGTTGACTTCATATTCAGTTGGACAAAGACTATTACTTAACAAGAAATGTCTTACATCCTAAATTCCTGTTAACCAGATGAAGCCTGCAGGAGTAACAGCGATATAATAAAGTACTGGCTTTGAAAAGAAGGGAGACAGACATGGGGCTGAGGTCTGGAACAAATTCCTAGCCTGATAGGGACTTTTTAGGAACCTGGACAAGCAACTGCACCGCCTGCATGTCAGATTCCCACCCACAAGACACTGTTTTTTTTTCTTGCCAGATTTTGTCTCTTCTACCTCAACCGTAGTGCTTAGGGTCAGGCCCAAGCTTCCTGAACAGCAATGAGCACAATGTGACCTTGGTCTTGGTGAGGATCACTAGGGAATTCAGGAAGTAAAAAAATCCTACAATATCAGCATTTCAGCACGGGATGTGGAGGTGCTTTAGAAACCTGCAGCTACAAGGGAACCCAGAGAGCTGCACTGAGAACTGAGAATAGGACTACGTGGAATGGAAGTAGAAATTGCAAGGCTAGAGAAATACTTATTTTCACTTTTTAAGGTTCAAATCTGAACCTTGAAGGCCCATAAAAGGGGTTGCCAAGCAAATCTATGATGAAGACCAATGTGAAAGCAAGTCGAATCCTTTCGGGAAGCATCTGCACTACGGAGTGAGTGTGCTCTACACTCTGTCTGCATACGCCTACTAGCTCTAACACATTCTGGATGTGCCAGACTTGTTGCACATGCACTTTACAATTCCTTCTTAGCGAAGCAGGAAATCCAACCTATTCTGAGAATGATGGACTTACACTCATCCAGCACACCTACGTAGGATCTGATGTTTCCCGTCAGATGCCAGAGAAATAGAGTTTGTACTGCACAGTCAACCTATAACTGTGCAGTGAACACATCTGACATTTCTGCATGCCTGCAAATCTTTGTCAAAATTTCTGGAAGAAGGCTGCATTCTTTATAGCAGGCTTACCTCTGGAATTTTGTGAGATATTACTTTACCTATCCAATACCAATCAAAAAACTCTCTGTAAAGACTGCAAGAAATGCCCTACTCCTGTGAACTGGAAATGCGCTCCCTCCTAAAAATATTTCTCAGCTGAGGTTTCAGAACAGCATTCTGTTTTTTTGGAGAGCTGCCAAGCACATATTACAGGCAAAACCAACATCCAAAACCATGCAAGGTACACATCTGCTAAGATGCTGAAATGCACTCCATCATTAATCCTGTCACACCCAGCCCAAAACTCAACTACTATTGACCTCTTCCAGTAATGTCCAGCTTGGTCTCTGAAAAGAGTTGTAAGATGAAAAATCATACTTAGTATGATAGATTCTGAAATATTTAGGCAGTCAGCATTTAAAAAACTGTGAAGTTTAAGTAAGAAAACTGACTTTAGGATTATTAATTATTGGATTGAGCACCTGAACAAGAATTACTTATACAGCTAATTGTGGAAAGCCAAAATTAGGTACATGTTCAAGTTAATTCTAAAAAGGTTAAATGTAAGAAAATGAATTTGTATTTTGTTCAAGCTGTTAAATACAGGATTTGTTCACAGGTATCATGGGAGAAAACATCCTCCATTTCTATCCTCTGATCTACTGTTACATCCCTACACATATTCATTTCACTCTCAAGAACAGATTTTAAAACCTTTTGTGTTCTAGTAAGACTCACTGAAGCTTGGTTTTATAAATATGAGACCAAGTATGCAGATTGCAGCTAGTGAAGTCATAGAAGCAGAAGATCTATGGTGTGTATGTGCCACAAGGTTTTCTTTGCCAATATGTGCATTAAAATCTTGGACTTAAATTACGTTATAGAATTATTAAATCTTGGGATGGAACTATAAAACTTGTCTTTACTGTCTTACTGAGCATCATCACTAGGCGAACAGTCAACAATTGAGCAAAGGGACTGAATTACCCTCAAGTCAAGTTTTCTTCCACTGTTTTTAATCAGTTTCCCAATATAGTTCTTACTGATATATGAGAACTAGATTCCTTACATAATTCTCCTCTAGGAAAGATCAAGTCTCTTCTGTTTTATGATTGACTCAAGAAGGTTTCAGTCATCAACTTCTAGGCAACTTTATGGGGGCAAATATATACAGCCATGCTCTAACTTCATTGAGAAAGTTGAAGCAAATTGCTTGTTTTTACAATGTATTGCACTGCCCTGAAGATAACGTAGGGAAAATTTTTTGCACTTCTGCATTTGTGTTTGTTTATGTTGGTTTATTTGTTTGGGATTTTTTGGTTCTGTTTATTATTATTATTATTATTATTATCATTATTAATAATTCCTCAAATGTATTATCAGATAAAAATAATGTGATATTTCTATTCTTGTGCATTATACAAGAAGAATCAAATAAGTGAATTAAAAATATCATCTTGGTTCATCCACTTGACAACACACCTGCTGTTCTCCATTTCAGCTGCAAACTCTCCCAGGTCAAAACTGAAATAATTACTAGAGAAACCAGAATGATGAAGACATTGAGCTGCCAGTTTCTAATGCAGCCTTACCAAGTTACTGTCAATCAGTGACTGTAATTTAAAAAAAGCATACCATGCAAAAGAAATATTAAGAACAATTATCTTGTGTCCAATTGGAACGATAGACCTCTAGACAGACGGGTTCATTCCTTGCAGCCTGCCAACATTTTAGTAAATGACACTGGCCCTTTAACAGATGGGATACATGCTTCTTAGCTTGCCAGGATCCTAATAAAAGACACTGGCTTCTTTAAAATGAAGGACACATACCTCTCATATTGTCAGTTTCCAAATTGGGAGTCAGCAGTTTAAAATAAAGGTACTCATCAATCTGGCAAAATCAAGGACACAGCACAGAAATTTTAAAACAAATGGTACACTACCTAACTTTGATACACTACCTAACTTTTAAGTTAAAAACTTAAACACTGGCTGAGCATATCCAGTAGCAACTGGATACCTTACTAGCTTTTAAAACAGTAAATACTAGCAGCAGACTTCAAGGGTTGGGTTTTGAGTTTATTTATTTTCCTCTTCAAACCCATTAGCTACCACTTAGACCGCTGATCATGCAATTTTTTGCATGACTTGAACAAAAACAGGGCATCTTTTTCCAGGGCATTGACCAGCACAACAAAAGCTGGTCCATGTGGAAAGACCCTGCCTGCCCAAAAGGAACCATATCTGCTTCCATTTCATCTCCCAGAAGCAGGATGTTCCAGTGAAGGAAATACCTCTGAAAGCTTTCCCCATGCCCTGACAACCCATATTACTACAACTTCGAAAGTTTTACAGCAACTGCAGACACCTCTTAAGAGCCAGCAAGTATGGGCTCCAACTTTTTTGATAGGAGCCATCAGAGGGAAACAAAGATCTTCTTCAGAGTACCATGAAGTACATCTAGATGAGTTGAGGGAAGTGAAGAGAGGAGTTTGCTGAACCTTGTCAGCACTTACAAACTATCCCCGTTTCCTGAAAGGCATGGGGGAAAGCAGAAAACTATAAATTCTCTTTGGAAGGATAATGAAGTTGCTAAATATTTGGAATGAAAAGGAGTATTTCATGGACAAGACAGAGAACTGGACTTATTCACATCAGTAGTTCTTTTTATTTCAGTCTCAGAGCCTTACTTCCGAAATATGGCAACTCAGAGCTGGCACACATCCAGCTTCTTGCCTTGCCCAACTCACTGCTTGTAGACTCCTGCCTCTTCAAATCAAACTGATTTTAACCATTGGAACCTATTTTCTTCCTGGTGTCTCCTGGCATACTCAGCATTTGCTGAGTAGATATTTCTGCAACATGTGGCTAATCAACTAATGCTGTGCAGAAATAACATACCTAATTACAAAAACGACCACTTGGTGACACAGCCAGCTGAAGCCAAAGAGCTCTGAAGTGCTAGAAAATACAGCGGAGGTTTTCTGGAAAGAAGGAATGAGGATCTTGCTTTAGAGAAGTAAAGAAAAAAAGTCAGCTGCTCTTGGGAATAGGTAAAGGTGAAATAGGTTCTGAAGGAAATGATCGTCACCAGATTTAACAGCTACCACAGTGAAATGCAGAGAAACTGCAGGAGACAGACAAGCTCCTGTCATACAGCAGTCCTGACTCGGCCATGAAACCAGCCTAAAGGTCTGTGTTACCTGCACCCAACTGTCAGCACCCATGGTCTGGGACATCTCCAGCCAGACTGGCTGGTTGTCTCTTCAAGCAGTCCCTTGCTCTGAAGCTTTTCCTCTGATGAACAAAGATGCTGCCACCGTTTACTCACCTTTCACGTTCATCTTTCATTTTCTCCAGCTCCTCCTCTTTAAGTATGCCTTGCTTTGGATTCCCCTTGTGATCTGTTTTCCCATTTTTATCTTCTTTTTTCTTTCCAAATCTGTAAGATAACAAGGAAGGAGTCAGAAGGAAATAATTACTAGAATAAAAATCAGTACCTGTCATAAACCACAGAAAGTTTAGACAATCAAAACACCGAGTTTTTAATGTTAGTCATAAATTTCCCACATTGCAAAATAAATTACCAGTATTAAATGGGCACTGTGCAATAGGGAAGACTGGTTACAAATTGCTTTGGACTCAGTTCTTTTCAAAGCTATTGTTTGAAAGTAAGTTGAAAAGCCTGAACAAACCTGAAATGCATGGCAACACAGGGCTGGACTATTAATACGGCACATTTTAAAGTGGTTCAGGGTTCCTCTTATCACAGGACAGCTCTCTGAAACCAATCTGCAGTTGCTGTGGTGTCAGCACCCAGACTCGACCATGTGTTCTGCTCCTATCAGTAACTATTGTCCCTCATTCATGTTTGGCCTTAGTTTAAAGATTTGTTCTTTGTTTAAATGAGGATGCAATTGGAAAGAATAAAATCTCACTATATTCTGAGACTAAAAAACTAGATAGTTCATAAGAGCTCTTTTTCAAAGTTCTTTGGGTGTTTTTTTTTCCCCTGCCTATTAATATGCTATCATGTAATATTCATGCTGTGAAAGTCCTCCAGAGACCCCAATCAATTCGGGGGTCCCACTATCCTATACACTGTACAAATTCACATAACATAAATCTGCTTTATGCAGCCTATAAAAGGTGACTGAACTGGGGAGCTACATTTCATTTCCGATGGAGCTAGATGGAATACTGGGGTTAAGTATGTCAAATATGCCCCTGAATTATGGGTCAAAAAGTATAGAACCTCTCCCCTCCTCTTCTCCAAATTGAAATTCTGAGGTCCACAAGTAGATAAATGATCAATCTGTCATCCCATGCAAATTTATGTGACCTTGCATGCATGAAAGCAATGTAAAGAAAAGTAATGATTTCTTCATTTAATATACCTTATCGCAAACTAATTACTCTGACTCAAAACTGCAAACTCTTCAGTGAAAGTCTGCAGCATTGCATTGGTCATCTTTCTTTTATCCTTTTTATTTTTCATGTCAGCCCAAACTGCCTCAAGTGGAATACACTTATGCTGTAAATCTTTGACTTTAGGCTTCTCCTCTGACCAAAGCAGGAATCTTGCAAATATTCTGTCAGGCTCTTCAGTTAATGATAAATATTTTTGTGAATGTAATAAATTTCCTGAGCTTGTGGTCAAATTAAATTCTTAGGGCCTCTGCTACAAGTCTTCCAGACAATAATTGCCTGGTTAAAAGGGAATGATGGGCATGAGACACAGACATGTAGCATTTGGTGCAAATGAAAAGAGCATATGTTACAGGTAACAGCATGAGATGCCTTACTGCAGCACTGCCATGGACAGTGCTGAGGAGTAGGACAAGTAATATCTTGGTGCATGCTTTCCTCTTTTTCTGATGGGTAGCAATAGAGATAGATGGTGTCTTACATTCTTTGAGGGATCCTTTGATTAAAATATACATACACCTCATTTCCAAACCATCTTCTTTACATGGGTCTTTACATGGACCCTGCTCATTTCAGTGCTTCTAGAAAGACAACAGATACTTCCCATACTTTTGCTTCTCCTCAGTATAGAGCAGCATGCTGAATCCACTGCTGCTGTCTAATTTCTAGCAATCCCAAGAGACTGTGCACCCACAAACCCCATCAGAGATTGGTGGTGGCAGTGAAGTCAGCCATCAGGAAACACAAGTGTGAGAGAGGTTGTACAAGCAGAGTAAGAAGATACAAACTGAGAAGGGTTCACAGATACAAGACAATCCAGGTGAAAAAGAAAAGAAACTCTGTGTATATTGTTTTCTACAGTGATGTCAGGCAGCCAAACACTGAATCTCCTGGGGATGAGCACCAGCAGGCTGCACCTTGAACATCCCAGCCTGCTAACACTTATACGTGCTGCAAAGGTCTCATGGCAGTTTTCTCAAGAGAGGCTGTATTAGCACTTGCACCTTGGTCATCAATCCAACTCCGGTACTTTGTTTATATTCAGCTGTCTGCTTTTCTCCCACAGTTTCAATTATGGGTTTGTACAGTTTCACATTCAATTGTAGTACCTATCGATTTTGAAAACACTGTTCTTGGGCATTTTGTATTGCTGCAGGGAGTAAAAGTTAGATATGTTGCATATTTGAGAGAAATGTGAAAGAAATCTTTAACACATGTCCCTTTCAAGTCTAGGTATTATTTTTTGCTTTCCAAGGAAATACATTTTTTAAAAAGTAAAGTGAGGATTTTGACTGTAATAACTGACAATGTGGCAACTCCCAGTGAAAACAGTGCTGTTTGCTGGTAGAGCTGCTCTTGGCATAAAATTGGCAAGTTCCAGTGTAATTATAAATTGGAAATAGTGAGTTGGTCTTGATGAAAACAGCTTTTAGCTGTTTTCCCAAATTTCCCAAAAATTTACCCATTTTTGCCTTCAGATGACATTTGTGCAGGCTTACAATTTTTACCTGTTACACTAAGTATACAGCATGTAGCTCAAGGCTAGGGAAACGTTCAGATTTTTGGCCTCTTTTGCACATTGCTATGCCATAAAAATCCATTATCTATTCTATTATTATTATTATTCTCTTAGTATTGCAATATATTTTTCAGCTCAACAAAATCTTGCACAAACATTAAAAACTAAAAGCAGCAAAAATTTAACACTCTTAAGGGATATAGAGCAGACAATGTTAAACAACAAAAACCCCAGTATCATCTCTATCTGAACTTATACACCCTGTCCTAAAATTTATAGTTTGCTCACTCGTGTTCTAATTGCCATGGTCTTCCAATTACAAAATTAATTTCCATCCATTGTAATTTTGCATGGATTTGTGCACTACAGGCTTAAAGGTTTTCTACTGCTTACAGGAACAGAAAAAAAAAATTAAGAGCATTGCTGCTCAGCTGGGTTTGATCTTGTTCTCTTTGGTATCAGTGCAAGGCCCTCCGCTGACTTCAACAAGGACAGGATAAAATCTGTTGTCAAAATTATACTATGGAATTAATCAAATCCACATTAAAATTCTAGGAAAACTGAATGGCTTTAGGATTTGAAGCTTCTCATTCTCCAGGCAACAAATAATTGGTTTGTGGTAAAATCTGCCTTTTGTATTAAAACTATTTTCAGAAGAATAAAAACAATTATGAAAAAAGGTATGGCACACAATTTCAGAAGGTCTGTTTTGCTAAACTGTGCACAGCAAAATTCTCTTCAACTTAATATCTAACAGTATTGATACTCTTAAAACCTTATGTAGCAAACAGAGAAATATAACTAGAAGACCTGAAAACAAACGGATCACCTGTATCCTCTCACATTCTATATCCTTCTATAATCAGTTTATGTCAAATGAAGCCACTTGCAAATGTAACAACAGTAAGGAAACAAATCTGTATCTTCCCACGTTTGAGTGACTGCCCCAGTTCTCTGATTATCCACTATACATACCTAGGAAGTACTGTTCAGAAGTTAAAGCCCTAATAATCTTAGTATACATTTAAGTTGGGAATATTCCAATGACTCAGAGCATAATTTTCCTGTAAACAAAAGCATACATAGATTTTCTTTATGTGATCAGACCTCTGAGTGCTTCCTGTTTGTGGGAAAAACTCACATGTAACAGTTGAAAACATGCTGCAAGAGTGAGGAACTATCCCGTTTCACCCTATTTCAAAGGGTGCCCTACAAATAAATTTTTGTCCTGAGAAGCCTTAAATGAACAAAGTCTCTGAATATCAAATATGTGTCGTCTTCTTGCAGTATTTATTAACATTGTATTGGCTATAACATTAAAGCATATGTATACTTCCTTTCAAGGATTCCAAGGGATAAAAATTTAAAAAACCTTCTAAAGGTCTGCTCTTTTATACTTGGGATAAATATCTTCTATGGAAGACCTACAGCTGTGTTCATGGCAACGCTGTTTCCGTGTGGTGCCAAGAGCTTCCAGATCTCAAATGTGTTGATATTTGCATCTAGGATTAAAAAGCAGGCAGGTCTATAAAGTCCCAAACTTCTAAGCAGGAGAAACATCTGGTGGGTGTACCCTAAACAGCTTGTTGACTAAATTAAACAATTTGGATTTCTCAGCTAATTTAGTTGCCCTACATCAGTAGGTGTCACTGCAGCTAACAGGGTACATAATGGAAATGCAAACATCTGTGGGGAAATAATTCAGAAGGACCTATGACAAACTCAAGAAAGGTATAAAACCTTACAAAATCCTGATACCTCCAGCAATTATCTGTAAAAAAACAGAATGATTTGTAAAGCATATCTAACAAAAGTTCTGGCTCCTAGTAGTTTCTCAGCAAATGGGAAAAAAATGCTGATATTATTAAAGCAGCTCCCTTATGAAAGACTAGAAATAACACTTTAAATTGAATTTAACTGTAAGAATGAATGAGTGTGCAAGAAAGGTAAAGATACTAATAAGGTATGATTTTCAGGTCCACAAAGGGACTATAAAACGCTTATTAACTGCCACTTCTGTCGTGTGTTTTAAGTTATTTTATCACTCAGCTTTACAGTAGAAGAAATACTCTAGAAGCAGTGCTGTGCTTTGATTAATCACTTTCATACATACACTTTTACAGAGTATTAAACATTGCCATAAAGATCCTTAGTGAGTCAGACTTGTTGGTGATTACAGGCCAGGCTCATTTCACATTTATGTTAATAGCAGCATTAATGAAATACGTCTTCTACATTTTTACTGGCTCTCTAAGTACCTAAAAGGTTTGTTATTAAATGTTTACTTATTGGGCAGAAGTATGCCATTGAGTATTACATCAGTGAGACCATGGGCTTTGCAGCAGCTGAAAAAGCTACAGAAAGAAGAGAACATGTTTTAGTAAAACATGTTTTGACATTTTGAGAGCAGAGCACACACAGCAGGATCTGGGCAACACTGTTCAAATCTTCACCAATATGCAGTATGAAAGTATCTCCATGACATGAGTTCATTT